CACATGCGTGTGTATGTGTGCGTGTGTGTATGTATGTGTGCGTGTGTAAATGTGCGTGTGTGTATGTATGTGTGTGTGTGTATGTATGTGTGTGTGTGTATGTTGTGTGTGAGAGCATATTTGTTCTGTGGATTAGCCCGGGAGTATTGGACACAACCATCTTATGACCAATTTTCAAGCCGCAGTAGACTAGGAATGTACAAAGCAAGCTTGTTGTACAGTAAACATTCTCACGATATATTTCTGTAGAGATCTGTGGCAATTTGTTTTAGGTTTCTGTCCTCGTCCTCTCAATTTTGCCTCATCCATGCATAATAATCGAATGCAAGAGAACGTATTGAGTAGTTGTACGACATTGCTTGCTGGACTCTCTTGTCCAGAACATCCGATTTTTATAGTTGTTGTGTATTCGAGGGTCCACGCGATACGTAGTCAAAGCTCGGGTTATAGTATAGCAAGCGAACAGAATAAACAATCACGAACACACACTAGATAGCTGATGGACTTAACATGGGCTATATCTACGCGTGCACCCATCAAACCTGAAACCTGGCACGGTGTGAAGACAGTGTGACGGTGTAAATGAACTGTGAACTATTAGTTGTCATCACTTCCCATTGGTGGGCAAATCCCTCCTAATTCTTTGACACCAACCCAACTAACCCACCCATAGGCTAGGCTACTTTGTTTCAGGATTCAGATCCCGCAGTGAAGTACTCGGGGCTTGTGATACAGCCAGGGGTGGTCTATGCAGTGAGTGGCACATCCACGATCAGAACGTACTATATATATATATATATCCACACACATACAAGTATAACACCTATAGAGCTACATATACATATATGCCACCATATACCCATTTCATAGGCCAATACCCTGGGCTTGTGATGCAACCGGGGATGGTCCATACCATGAACGGCACCTCTCTGGCTATGCAACTGGTAGAAGAAGCGGCACACTTACAACGCACAAACAAACGATTAGATGCGATCGAGGTCATCGTGTTGAGTCTGTTCTGTGCGCCTATGTGGAGCCTGTCAGTTGCTGAGCTGCACGATTTCGTTAAGAAGAGATTTCCCGGGTTTACGGTGTGTGGGTGGATATAGTGGAGGTGTTCTGCGTAGGTAGTTCATTTCTTTCACGGTGTGTGGGTTGATATAGTAGAGATGTTCTGGGTAGGGTGTCTATTTCTTTATCCAGCACAGCTATTTTTCTAGGCTGTTATGCACATGTTCGTGTATCCGAGTGACGATGAAACCATATGCCCTACTTCTGAGATGACTTGTTGAGATTGTGTTGTTCGTGCGTAGAGTAGTGCTCCGGGCGTATACACAGCCCAGTTTGGAGATTTGTAGGGTTCTACAAGGAGCTCGTGAATCATCAACTACACCTGGATTATCGTACCAACGCGCTTCAGGATTAGATCTTACTGGCGAATGCACATACACAGCAACTGAACGGACCTCCACAGTCAGTCCTTCAGTAGTGGAAAAACCCCAACACACACAGCTCTCAACCTTTATTCTCAGAATCTAAGCGTTATCCTTACTGTAGGAGGATAAATGTGCCACAGAGAAAGGCAAGGCTACCTGGAAGACCCGGCTTCGCGTGGCAATGCTCCAGGAGATTGGGCTGATGAAATTGAAGAAGGTATTAGTAGGCGTATATTCTTTTGCATGTTTACGGCCTTATACATGTATTTACATACATACATAGATACACATACATGCATACATACACCGTGGCTCAGCATACATACACCGTGGCTCAGCATGAAATGTGATTCGTTTGGGGTATTGTGCGCAACTTGCTTAGTTTCACGTTTGTACACACACTACCGAGAGATGTCACAGTTTGTCGGTGCAGATATGCAACTACACTTAAGCTTTGCGTAGCCTAAAACCCTAAAACCCTTAACGCTTTGCGTATCGATGGTGTCAAATGTGCTATTGATGACAAATCTATTTCTTGACTACCATCAGATATGTATACATCTCCCAAGAAAGTGTGTACGTACTATGACTTGTTCCCAGAATCTTGTCGCCTGCGTCTATTTGCGTAGTTAAACACGGTTCTGCAAATATAAGGCAGTACAAAAGCGTATACACATTCATCCATTCTGCAGCTTCGCATGTTACACGTCCCGTTGTAGGTCAAAACTTAAGACGATATCACAATTGATGTATGCACAAGTGCTTTGCTTATAAAAAACACTATCCGAAATTCGACATCAACCATCATGTGTGTTAACATTCCGCCAAATGCCGGTACTTCTCTCACAGACAGCCGATCATGTTCGCACCAGATGGACGTTTCGGTCGGAATCGCATGCCATCGAGCTGCTCAACTCTGTGCACTCAAGGATCATTATGAAGCGCTTGGAGGCGTCACAGGTTGGTTGTTGGTTGTTGTACAGTTTGAGGATACACTATGTTTGGTCATGGTTTCTGGAGTTCCTTCTGGAGCTTCCTACTTGAGAGGCTGTTTAAGTGA